AAGACAGCTTCTTGCAGTCCACTCATTTGACCACACTTCTAGGGCTAGCTGAGATTCTTCTTTGAAGCAACAATACCAAATGGGATTCTTCTTTGCAGACGGACACGAAAAAAAACACAGAAAAACCCTAGGGCAAAAAACCGGCCACTCAGTCAGAAGGATGACCCGCGGAACTTTCAGCCGCCGAGCCCCCAGACGTCATCTCGCTCGACCTCGCCTGAGGCGCTGGCGCTGGCGGAGCTGCTGGAGAGGCGCTCGGAGCTGCTGGCCCCGGCCCAGGCGAGAGCCGTTGACTCATGCGGCCCAGGCCGCGGGTTGCCCTCACCTAACAACCCCCTGCTTGGTGGAGTCGGGATGTTCATTGGTCAAATAGCCGTGGTCAAAACCAGTGGGATCGATCCCATGTTGGTTGGATTGGGTGAATTCGCCACCCATGTTAGAACCTATTTTGGGATTGGGATGGATACTGTGGATGGTGGCGAAATCCATGTCGCACCAGATTGAAAGTATTGGAATCCATGGTTTGTTGGTATTTACAGGGGAATCATCATTCCCGGGTTTCTTAGGTGGTGCAGGATTTCGTCCATCCACAGTATTCAGGGTCAAATTGAAAGGAAGCACTTATCACTTTGAGGGGAAAGACCTCACTTGTTAGCAACCATGCAGAGAACCGGGCTCAGCGTTGCTAGATGATTAACCAGCTTGGAGGAAACGTTGAGATGTTGCATGATGATCTAGATTCTATAGTACCTTGTTGTTTGCTTGCTTGTTTGCCCTCTCACCTTGCCTTGAACAATGACACAAATATGAATGGTTTCCACAGGATCCTGTCAGGGTTCCAGTTCCGGTTGGCTGGTCAAAAACCCATGCAAATGAGGCCACCAAAGCTGCAACATCAAAATTGTATACATATATCTGAGCGGCACTCCCCTTCCTTGATGCGACCCCAGCCGCCCAAGGACGAGGTTCCCATATTTTTAGAAACTCCCATGTACCAACTGTGTAGGATGTGACTTAGTCCGGTTTCAGAGGATGAGAAAGTCACATTTTCTGGAGGGGGGGCGCGTTACACGAGATGCGTTACAAGAGGCTTTGGACGACTTTCGCCTTTGGTTCTCTTCCATGGTTGTCCATGGTTGGAACAAGGGTTAAGGCCAACGGTTTAAACTAGGGACCGGGTTTCAAAGGAAAGCCAAAGGCAAATCGCATATCAGTGTCTCTAAGAGTAGGTGAGACCCCTCCCGCCAAACAAAAGCAATGATCGGTTTGCTTTTGGTTTCACGTCAAATCAAACAACCCAAACGACTACCCTCAAAAGGGCCCGCCAAATTTTTCGCGGGGTGACCGGTTTGGAGACACAAAATCAGGCAGTTGGTGGTGGCTGGAAGTGTCCCTGGGGGTCAACATCGCAGTCATTGCTGCATTTGTGGGAATGAACCCGGTCAAAAATGGCAAAATATGCTTCCAAAATCCAGCTAAAGGGGTCCAACTTGCCCCCCTCAGATTCTTCAACTCCAAAAGGTCAAACATGTCCAAATCCAGCAGAGGACCCGTGTCCAACATGCCCATGCCCAACATGCCCGTGCCCTTTCCGTCCTTCAACCCCCCCTCCCCTTTCCCTCCCCTCCAACCGGCCCATGTCCAAAACCGTCTCATGTTCCTGTGGATGGGTCCTCGAAATCTATTTCGCACCACCCAAGAAACCATAGAATGATTCGATTCCCCAACGTAAATACCTACACGTCATGGTTTCAACCAAAGTTTCAAAGTGGTGCGAACGGATTTCGCAACCATCCACAGCTATGGTTTGGGTTAAAAAAAACGGCCAGCTCAAGCAGGTGATCTTGGAGCTGGGCGCCGGGTGCGGCCTCGCGCGAAAGCCTGGGCTCGAAGGGAAGCCGCGTCTGACTTCGTGCTTCCTATAGGTAAACCCGGGTAACCCTGGCAACCCTAGAGTATAGGCAATCCAAGAGTAGGCCACTTCTATGAGTTTTTTCGCTACTATGGGTAACTCCGGTAAGGACATAAGGTATCTCCTGGATTCCATCGTGGTAACTGGGAGCACTCGGAGAGTTATTTGGCCCTGCATTCTAATCAGGAATGTCGTCTCAAAGGGCTTTCTGACACAAATCCCACCTAATCATTGTCCCTCGAAGAGAAGGAGGTGCTCGGGAGTCAAAGCTATGATCCCCTTGATTATTTCAAGAGGCGGCATGTCGCTTAAGGATTTGGGGAATGGAGGGGGGGGGGAAGGATTTAGATTGTCATTTGCGCGACTGGGCGACCCCCCACCCCCTTCTTCTTCTCTTCAAAATTGCCTGTTGGTGCCATCCCGGCCACACCTCGCCCTGGCCCCCAAAAGTGTTTGTGTCTTTCTCTACTCGGGTCACTGGGCAGGCTGGGCTTTCAACTAAGAAAGGGGCACGGTACCTTTTTTGCTGGTCTCCTGCAAACAGGTCACAAGGTCGCAGAACTTGGAAGCCGCTTCCCAGCCATGCTCAGAAAAGCTTTTAAATGGATGTTTTGGAGTTGGTACCTGCTTTTGGTTGGTTTCAGAGGGAAACCAATAGGAGCACTTTGGGGTTCCCGAACAATTACGCACCGAGAAGTTTGGAGTTTGGCAGGTTTCCTAGATGCCCCACTACAAAAAAAACAAGTGATCACCGAGCCACGGTCAGTTGGTTTGGAGATGTGTCAGCTTCTTGGCCGATTGGCCCGTTGAGCCTTTGCTAGGCATGACGTACCGGGAACTATGGCAGTTATTTTTAACGGGGAGCACGCAATGGTGGACATGAATCCCCGCCGAATTCTGATGTCCCCCCCCCCGAAGGGTCCCATTACCGATGTCCCATGGCCGGTCTTTGGTGTGACCTTCAAGGCCCCACCCCCAGGACTTTAACTTTTTGCCAACTAATGGGGTTTCCATCAAACCACTCAAAGTCAAGCTTCTAGCAGGGGAGCAGAAAGCAAAAAAGAGCATGATAGACCACCCTTCACCGGTTGGGTCCAGTTTGACCGGAGGCAGGCCTGGCAGCGGCTGCACAGCTGGTACAGTTCGCGGATGCAGGCGGGAAGGCCTGTCCACCGAATCGGGCCCCGAAATAAGATTCATGCAATAATTTCTTCAGGGAACTCTCAAGGATCTGGCTCTTTGTAGAAATGGAAAGCCACCCCGACCACCAATTAGAGGGAAGAGGATTCTGGTTTTTTAAGGGGGTTCCACTACCCAGCAAGGGAGAAAAGGGGGAATCAGCCACCCCACGTCGTCCGGAAACTTGGAAGAATCAATGGCCTGGATACATGTTTGTGTGTGAGTGTGTGCGTTTTAGCGTGCCCTTTTTGGGGGAGGGTTCCGGAGGGATCAGATGCTGTTGGGGCTATTACCCGGCCGGGCGTTTTTTGTTTGCCCGATCCATTCACGAAGTGAAGTTTTGATGATGTACCGCTGCAGGGCTGTCCTTTTGAGACCCGCAAACACGGGGGTTACCCCAGCCAAAAACGGGCTTACAGGAGACCAACGCGAAGCGATCCAGTTTGGGGGTCCCCTAAAAGCGGACACACCCAAATGGTGCACCCGGTCCTTCCGATCAATGACCCTGTTCGTCGGGGAACTGCATCGCGGCATATCTGGCGGAACTAGGCATCGTGACTTGAATTCGGCCAAAGGACAACCCTACTCCATCATGGGGGAGTGGCACGGCAAGATCCTTTGATTTTGAATAAGATTAGGTTCCTTGGTGATTGCCCAACCGGGATTCTCGAAAATCAAGTCAAATTCCAACCATCCATTTTGAGCCAATCCTTTGCGTTTTTCTGGCAGTCAGCGAATCCTGTGGTCAAATCGTGAATGTCTTTGTCATTCATGTGTGCGAACGAGCAGACACTGGCGCTGTGTTGATTCAGATCAGCAATATGGTGTTTAAATGATCTTAGCAGTTGAAAAATGGCTTGGCCCGCAACCATCATGTAAAACGAGGTAAGAATACCCCCTACTTGATTGTAGGGTATCATGGCAACTTTACTGAGAAAGGTGGTATTTACCATGTAGCACCATGTTGTTTCACAAACAAAAACAACAAGCAACAAAAGGGGTTTTCTACCCACTTTCGCGGCTTGCCTGGCTGAAGCACTAAGACCTTCAGGTCCTAAGGACCCGAGGCAGAGTTGCAACCCCGAGGTGACAGGAGGGTGCTCCTCACGGATGGCCCGGAGGCGAGGGCTCCCGGCGCGGGCGCGCGCTCGATGCGAGCGGAGGATTGCAGTTCTCCCGACTTCCGCAAGACGCTTTTGGAAAGACCGACCGTTTTTGGAAAGACCGTTTTTAGTGGTAAATCGGCAACAGAGATACATGGACAATGTTAGCGGTAAATGAAACTTTAAATGTTCAGAGTTGTTTGGGCCAACTCAGGAGGTGAGAAATTCCGAGCTGGGCAAAAGCCGGGTTTGCAGAAAGACAGATGCTCCCTCCATTCGCTCTTTCAACGGAACCCACCAACAAATTGCAAGCTTCAACGGGACACCCGGCAACACCTGTAATGCGAAGTTCCCTCTTAGAAGTATGGTTCCCGGCGGTGGAACGACTTTTTGTAGCCAAGGAGTTTCATCATCTACATTAGCTTGACCAGTGTCTTCATGGGGTTGTGGCTGTTTGGTGCGGCCTTGAACCTCTTGGCTCTTTAGAAAAGGTTGGTTTCCCCACTCGCTTAAAACATGACAAGCTTGGAGGCGGTGAATGGCTAATCCATATGATTTCGATCCATGTGTTTCCAACAACTGGACACCACTTTGTTGGATGGGGTAAATTTCAGAAACAACTAGAAAATACCCGGCACAGTGCCACTTCACCTTTCCCTTGGCGTTTGCGCATGTTTTCAGTGGGGGCGTGATTGTCTCAAAACAGAGGGTCCGCATAAGACCAGGGAGTATCCTCAAAACAGTCGCAGCAACTTCACCGAACAGGAAGCAGCTTTTGGCCGCTTGCCTTTGCTCACGAATGCCGCAGCCGCCAGCGATTTGCCGTTGCCAAATGTAGCTCGCCCGACGCAGCGCAACTGTCCTGCAATCAGAAGGGCCGCGATTGGTGTGGCAGCTTGTTTTGGCTGGGGACGTGCTGTTGGCGCGCCATCTTGGTCTGTTTTGGTATCTGCCGTTCGACCGTGTTTATTTTTTGTGTGTTCATAGCCTTGGGACAGGCCTTCCCAGCCATGTTTCTGTGAACGTAAAGTTGTCTTGAAAGTCGACCAAGTAGTCACGGGCATTCCGATGGAGTGTTGCAGAAAAGTGCCCAGTTTTGCAGAACTCTGTCCATAGCGAAACGACAAATCCGGGGTTCTCGTCCAAGCCTCAAGGCTTCAAGAAGGTCGACAGGGAACGACAACTCGAAAAGCTGGGAGTCTCCCCGAAAACTATTTGGGTATGCCTCAAAATAGGGCGGCCCCACAAGAGATGGTTTCCTTCTCTTCTTTTTGAAACTGCTCCAAAATGGAAGCCACACCCATTTATGTGCTCGGTTAAACTAAATATGATTCAGAGTCTGGACTTAATTTGTTTTCCTACTCTTTGGGCCAAGGAAGGGCGAGTTGGGACAAACCAAATGAACCCTTTGGAAGGATCGTCCGGTTGATTGGGCCCTTGGCTTTTGCAAACGAGACTGGCCTTGCCTCTTTTCCATAGAGAGGTCGACCTCCGTGGCCGGTCGGAGGACACTTAGCTTCGATTTGTGTGGGATAAAGCGACCTCTATCTGCTCCAAAAAATTAAGATTCCGCTTTCGGACATTCAACTCCTCCAGCAAGCTCCAGCAAATGGAAGTCTACGACTACCCTCAAAGGGCACCTGCCATGACTGGTACGGTAAATGTGTTGCTTCTTTGGTGCTATCCCTTCAACAGGGGGACGTTCCGCGAGGAAATAAAAGCGCTCGCGGGGAAATAAAAAATGACGAAAGCAAAAATAAGCAAATGCGTGCGCAGAAATAAGCAAATTGCGTAGGAAAATAAAACTCACGTATGACAAACTAAACAAGCCCGCGCAACCCCCAAGCCTCGTTTTGCGTAACAACCTCTACCTTATTTAGTTCTTGGCTTGCAAAGCCCATGAACAAGTATCAGGGCAAGAATCACGCAAGAAAATTAAACACACAGACAAAAAATAAAACACGCCTCCGCAATCGCTCAATGCCTATCGCGCCACAATCCTTCCTGCATGTGTTTTTGTTTTAACTTCTCGGTTCAAACTGAACAAAGACTTGGCAAGGAACAAACATCAGCGCAGAATTAAGCCGAGTACGCGCGAAAACAAATTACACAAGCGCAAAACATAACACGCAACAGCATAACGGCATGAATGGAAAAAATATACTACATTTTTTCGTTCCCAGCTCAAGATTGCTGCTTGAAAGCCCGCTCGTATCTACATTTTCCCTAGAAGCATTGCGCAGTAGTACATCCGCTGCATTCCCAGTTCTTCTTCGGCAGGTAGCGTTTTTGCATTTTTGCATCTTTTCGCTGGTTTGCGCGGCTTCGGCTTTGGCTTTGCGCATCTTCGGGCTTTTTGGCTATTGGTTTTTGGATTTGGCTTTTCCGCATCATCAGCATCACCACCACCCTATTTGAATCATCACTTCTTCGAGCGTCATGGGGGGGGAACCCCGCTACTGTTTAGATTGTTTGCAGAGTGTAATTGCACCCCTATTTGAATCAACTCTTCTTCAAACATCATGGGGGGGGGTTGCCGCCTCCCCCCCCCTTACTTTTTAGATTTCTTGTAGAGATTGAATCACCCCTGTTTGAACCATCACTTTTTTCGAGCGTCCAATTTCGCGAGAACATGCTGCAAAATACGACACTTTAGGTAATCTGTGTAGTCCATGTATGTCCGTATGTATGCAGTTCTTCGAACATCATAGGGGAAGCTTCTATCACACCCTTTCTTGAATCACTACTTGAATCATCACTCCTTCCGACATCATGGGGGGGGCTGCCGCCCCCCCCCAACCCCCCGCTGTGTTAAAAATTGTTACAGAGATTTAATATTTAATTAGTTGCACCCCTAGTTGATGAATCACCAACTCTTCCAACATCATGGGGGGGGGCTGCCGTCCGGGCCGTCCCCCCCCCAACCCCCCCGCTACTTTTTAGACTTTTTGCAGACATTGAGTTGCACCCCTATCCAAATAATCACTTCTGCAAAAAACATTTGGGGGGGGGGGCTGCCGACGCCCCCCCGCTACTTTGCACTTCGATCGTCATGGCGCTGCGGCCCCCTTCCCCCCAACCCCTCTCCCTGCTACTTTTTAGACTTTTCTTTGGAGTTGTATTTATTTTACGATTTTTCCGTTTTTTTTTTTTTTGTTTTTTCTTGGCTTCTTGGCTTCTTGGCTTTTTGGCTTCTTGGCTTCTTGGCTTCTTGGCTTTTCGGCTTCTTGGCTTCTCGGCTTCTTGGTTTCTTGGCTTTTCGGCTTCTTGGCTTCTCGGCTTCTGGGCTTCTGGGCTTCTTGGCTTTTTGGTTTCTTGGCTTCTTGGCTTCTTGGCTTCTTGGCTTTTCGGTTCTCGGCTTCTGGGCTTCTAGGCTTTTTGGTTTTTTGCTGGTTTATGCGGCTTTTGGTGGCTTTTGGGCTTTTCGCATCCTCTGCATTCCCAATTCCTCTTCGGCAGGTAGCGTTTTTGCCTTTTTGCATCTTTTCGCTGGTTTGCGCGGCTTCGGCTTTGGCTTTGCGCATCTTCGGGCTTTTTGGCTATTGGTTTTTGGATTTGGCTTTCCGCATCATCAGCATCACCACCCTATTTGAATCATCACTTCTTCGAGCGTCATGGGGGGGGAACCCCGCTACTGTTTAGATTGTTTGCAGAGTAATTGCACCCCTATTTGAATCAACTCTTCTTCAAACATCATGGGGGGGGGTTGCCGCCTCCCCCCCCCTTACTTTTTAGATTTCTTGTAGAGATTGAATCACCCCTGTTTGAACCATCACTTTTTTCGAGCGTCCAATTTCGCGAGAACATGCTGCAAAATACGACACTTTAGGTAATCTGTGTAGTCCATGTATGTCCGTATGTATGCAGTTCTTCGAACATCATAGGGGAAGCTTCTATCACACCCTTTCTTGAATCATTGCACCCCTACTTGAATCATCACTCCTTCCGACATCATGGGGGGGGCTGCCGCCCCCCCCAGCCCCCCCGCTGTGATAAAAAATGTTACAGAGATTTATTATTTAATTAGTTGCACCCCTAGTTGAATCATCAATTCTTCCAACATCGTGGCGGGGGGGGGGCTGCCGCAAAACTTAAGTCTCAATTTCGCTAGGATTACACACGGCGATATACATACACGGTGCATACACATGCAGCCCGGTCCTGGGCTCTCTCCGGTCCGTCCGGCCGTCTTGTTTCGGTCCGTCCGCGCAGCCGCACGCTGGGACGCGCAGCGTGTCCCGCTTCGCGCGTCTGGCTCTGGTCTCCCGTCCGGTCTGGCCGGTCCGTCCGGTCTGTCCGGTTCGTCCACGCGCGGTCCGCCGCCCAGTCCGCGGTCCGTCCGGTCCGGTCCGGTCCGGTCCGGTCCGTCCGGTCCGGTTCGGTCCGTCCGGTCCGTCCGGTCCTTCCGGTCCGGTCCGTCCAGTCCGTCCGGTCCGCGGTCCGCGGTCTGTCCAGTCCGTCCGGTCCGTCCGCGGTCCGCGGTCCGTCCGGTCCGTCCGGTCCGTCCGGGTCCGGTCCGGTCCGCGGTCCGTCCGGTCCGGTCCGTCGGTCCGGTCCGGTCCGTCCGCGGTCCGTCCGGTCCGTCCGGTCCGTCCGGTCCGTCCGGTCCGTCCGGTCCGTCCGGTCCGTCCGGTCCGTCCGGTCCGTCCGGTCCGTCCGGTCCGTTCGCGGTCCGTCCGGGTCCGGTCCGGTCCGTCCGGTCCGTCCGGTCCGCGGTCCGCGGTCTGTCCGGTCCGTCCGGTCCGTCCGGTCCGTCCGGTCCGTCCGGTCCGTCCGGTCCGCGGTCCGTCCGGTCCGGTCCGTCGGTCCGGCCCGTGCGGTCCGTCCGGTCCGTCCGCGGTCCGTCCGGTCCGTCCGGTCCGTCCGGTCCGTCCGGTCCGTCCGGTCCGTCCGGTCCGCGGTCCGTCCGGTCCGTCCGGTCCGTCCGGTCCGTCCGTCCGGTCCGGTCCGTCGGTCCGCGGTCCGTCCGGTCCGTTGTCCGTGCCGTCCGGTCCGTCCGGTCCGCGGTCCCGTCCGCGCGCTCCGTCCAATCCGGTCCGGTGAATCCCGGTCCGCGGTCCGTCCAGTCCGCGGTCCGTCCGGTCGGTCCGCCCAGTCCGGTCCGTCCAGCCCGCGGTCCGTCCAGTCCGTCCAGTTCGCCCAGCTCATGCGGCTCATCCACTCCATCCGTCCAGTCCGTCCGGTCCGTCGTATCTTTTTATTTCTCATGTTTGTTTTGTATTTTCTTGCTGGATCTGCCTATATCCTTAATGCCTTTTCATGGTGCCGGCTGGTCCTCGCTTTTATTTCCCGTGAAGCGGTTTTATTTCCTTACTATGGTTACCCCCCCTTCAACACCAGGGTGGAACAGTGACAACTTTAAAAGACACATGATTCCACGTCCCTGTATAGGTAACCAAGAACACCACCCGCAAAAACAACAGGAAACTACGCCTGGTTGCGGTATAGTGGCTTGCCTGGGATCCACTGGGGTCTGTTTGGGCACAGGCGCTTTTTCTTTCGCTGAGGATGTGGCTGCGTGCCGTGCCGCTCCGGTGCCGCGCTTAGGTCTCAGGTCATGTCTTGGCTCGTCAGCCCCAAAAAAACCATCCATGTTCAGGAGCGATTGATGAATGCTAGGCTTTGGGGGCAGGGTCCAGCCCCTTTCAATGGAGCCAAGGGCAAATGTCCCTTAAACCGTATTGTCCTTGACGCGACAGCCTAGAGTCTGCTCTGAGGTGCAGGCACACCTTCAACCCGAGCAGAGGTTTTGCTCGGTCAAACCGAGGAGCAGAGACAGAAAAAGCGATAGACCAGAACACACTTGAGTGTCGAAATGTGCTCCAAGTTCCCGGCCACCCAACTAGTTTTCAAGGCCCAAAGTGCGGTTCGCAGCAAATTTCCGGCCAGGACGAACCTCGCCGCCCGCGCCCGCGCCCGCCGTGGAGCTGCCCACACTCACGCCCAAGGCGGAGGAGTCGAAGCTGAAGTTCCACGTGGAGCAGGAGACTGCCCCCAGTGGATGCTCTCCACGCCACGAAGGAAATGCGAAAGACACCATCATCAGAGACCCCCGTTAAGGAAACAAAATCGCCCCCGTTAAGGGCCGCCAAGCAGCGGGAAGCCCATCGGTTGAAGGAGTACCCCCCTCCCAAAAGAAAAAAATGCTCCATACCTCCAAATGCCGCAGTGGGTCCTTGGTGTTTCGCCGCAGGTGGCCGGCGACTCTCCTTTAAGGGTGGCTCCCTTTGATCACGGTCCAGGCTTTGCCTTTTGCTCAGGGAATGACCTCAGAATGAGCCATCCAACTTGTGGTTTCCTTTCCGGGGCCGGCCAATGAGGTCTGGTCCGGGGTTTGTTTGCCTCTCCCAGTTCGGTATGTTTTCAGTTTGGTGTATTCCTCCGCAAAAGATCAAACCCCAAAAGGGGGTCCGATCCTTTTTCCACCTTTGGGGTCGCTGGAGACATTGGGGCGCCACGCTCCTCTCTAAGGGGGGGAAAGGTTACTGGTTGCAACTTGGTTTTGGACCCACCTTTGGCTAAACAAGTTGAATCCTGAAAAGGGAACCGGATCAAGGGCAAGTGCAGATGTGTGTAGCCGTTTGTTCGAGCCTGTTCGGGCTTGCCCAAGCCGTGAGGGCGGTTGGGGTTCTGTCGTTCTTCGACCAAACTAGCTTGAAAGGCAAAGAGGGAGGACGGATAGGCACCGGCACTGCCCCCCGCTTCAGTTGCGTGAACGCGCATCAGCTGACACGCTGTCAGGACTTGTCGCAACTGGCGCGGTCTGAAGGCGAGGGTGTCAAAACGGGAGGCGGAAGCCAGGAGTTGCTAACTCATTGTCACGCCAGCATGAGCCATAATCAAAACCCGGGTAAGTGAAGGTTAGCAAGGCGCAGTCCCAACCAGAACAAGGTGCGGCCGCCTTGTAGCTCTTTATATTGGTGTGGGTGGACCATTTCATCCAGGTTTTCATTGTGACCCACCTTTCGATTGCTTCTTCGCAAGCCATTTGTCCCGACAGCTTTGCGAGGTAACCTCGTCAGGTTGCGAGTTCGCAGCCCAAACTTTGCAGCGGCAAACGAGGCAGTAAATAGTAGGAACCCACCAAGTTTGAGACCTCTTTGAATGTGATCTCACATTTTAGGTTCACTGGACCATCAACAATGTCATTTGTTGGAAAGCAATAGCTGAGATAGCTAAGATACCAAAACAACACTCAATGCTAAACACTAGACCCTAAAGCTACACAACGTTCTCCTCCATTGCCAGCCATTTGTTGGAACTACGGCTGGTCTTGGCAACCATTCCGCCAGCTTCTCCTAAGCCCGGCCACCTTGTTTCCCCGAATGTGGCTCTAGTGAAGCCTTAGGCGGACCATTTCTAGGCAATCAGGGCAAGGTGAGGGCTTGGGTTGGGGAGTGGGGGGCAGCCAAAATGGCTCTTCTGATTTCGCTTTTGCCAGCAGTCCCGAAGGAAATTAGTTTGGGCCTTATAAACATGTGTTGCTTGATTCCTATTCAAGTGTACCATCAACCATTGTCGGATCTCCTAAGAGCAATATTCACGTTGCATAGAACGAGGAAGACTTAGAATCCGCCTGTGGCAGGCCCTTTGGCGCTTTTCAACAGCTTGGTGCAGAAGGGCCAGCTGCAAGAGGACGGCGAGCAGAGGCGCATCTTTTTCTTGGTAGCCGATATGGCAAGTTCGCTGGGGAGTCGGCAGGGGAAGAAGGAGTCTTCCTCAGAAGCCCACGTCTTCAGGCTTTTTAAGACGGCCAAGAGTGGGGTAACCGTCGTTGGTGGTTTGGATTGATTGGTTTGGATTGGTTTGGGGATTTGAACCAGGGGGCAAATGGGAAACCCTCGGAATGCCTCCAAACCAGCAATCCAAGCCAGCCTTGTTGAGGGTAGCTCAGAACATTGATCTGATTTCTGGCGGCATGGGCGCCAAACCCATCAGTCAATTTATGCCTGTGAGTTAGGGAGGGGGATTGCATCCTATCGAAAGGTACCTGGTTCCGAAAGTCCATGACGGCCCTTCTGGATGGTTTTGACGGGCTGGGGACTAGTCAAAAGGTTTCTGGTTTCAAGATCAGTGGACATTGACCCCCCCTGGATGGTTTTTGTAGAGCAAACCGACGGGAATCCAGCCAGTGGGGTTCCAAAGTCAAGATTTTTCTGTTTTGTCGATATGCGTTGTTGGAAACCCTTGGCATGAATAAACCCCTGGTTGGTTGATACCTGGTGCACCCAGTTTAGAGTGAACCGTTCACTTTTCGGCCTGATCTGATACTAGAATTCTTCGAAGGCTGATGAACCCGGGGACCTTTGTCTATGGTCAATGTGTGGTTTGGGACACGGCAGGGTCCTTGATAAACAAATATACTTTAGAGCCTCCGGCTCAGTCCGCCGACATTGTCCTCTCCCTTTTCTCCTTCTTCCTCTCTTCCTTGTCTCGCTTGTGTGTTCTGTCGTCCTCTCTCCCTCTCTCGGCTCCCATCCTCCCCATCCCCCCAAGCCTCTCTCTCCCCAATCTCCCTCTCTCGTATGTATGCATGCATGTACATAAGTATGTATGTATGCATGCATGTATGTATGTATGTATGTATGTATGTAATGTAAGCAAGTAAGTAAGTAAGTAAGTACGTAAGTGTATGTATGTATGTAATGTATGTATGTAATGTAATGTAATGTAATGTAATGTAATGTAATGTAATGTAATGTAATGTAATGTAATGTAATGTAATGTAATGTAATGTAATGTAATGTAATGTAATGTAATGTAATGTAATGTAATGTAATGTAATGTAATGTATGTATGTATGTATGTATGTATGTATGTATGTATGTATGTATGTATGTATGTATGTATATGTATGTATGTATGTATGTATGTATGTATGTATGTATGTATGTATGTATGTATGTATGTAATGTATGTATGTATGTATGTATGTATGTAATGTATGTATGTATGTATGTATGTATGTATGTATGTATGTATGTATGTATGTATGTATGTATGTATGTATGTATGTATGTATGTATGTATGTATGTATGTATGTATGTATGTATGTATGTATGTATGTATGTATGTATGTATGTATGTATGTATGTATGTATGTATGTATGTATGTATGTATGTATGTATGTATGTATGTATGTATGTATGTATGTATGTATGTATGTATGTATGTATGTATGTATGTATGTATGTATGTATGTATGTAATGTATGTATGTAATGTAATGTATGTAATGTAATGTAATGTAATGTAATGTAATGTAATGTATGTATGTATGTATGTATGTATATGTATGTATGTAATGTAATGTATGTATGTATGTATGTATGTATGTATGTATGTATGTATGTATGTATGTATGTATGTATGTATGTATGTATGTATGTATGTATGTATGTATGTATGTATGTATGTATGTATGTATGTATGTATGTATGTATGTATGTATGTATGTATGTATGTATGTATGTATGTATGTATGTATGTATGTATGTATGTATGTATGTATGTATGTATGTATGTATGTATGTATGTATGTATGTATGTATGTATGTATGTATGTATGTATGTATGTATGTATGTATGTATGTATGTATGTATGTATGTATGTATGTATGTATGTATGTATGTATGTATGTATGTATGTATGTATGTATATGTATGTATGTATGTATGTATGTATGTATGTAATGTATGTATGTATGTATGTATGTATGTATGTATGTATGTATGTATGTATGTAATGTATGTATGTATGTATGTATGTAATGTAATGTAATGTAATGTAATGTATGTAATGTATGTATGTAATGTAATGTAATGTATGTATGTATGTATGTATGTATGTATGTATGTATGTATGTATGTATGTATGTATGTATGTATGTATGTATGTATGTATGTATGTATGTATGTATGTATGTATGTATGTATGTATGTATGTATGTATGTATGTATGTATGTATGTATGTATGTATGTATGTATGTATGTATGTATGTATGTATGTATGTATGTAATGTATGTATGTATGTATGTATGTATGTATGTATGTATGTATGTATGTATGTATGTATGTATGTATGTATGTATGTATGTATGTATGTATGTATGTATGTATGTATGTATGTATGTATGTATGTATGTATGTATGTATGTATGTATGTATGTATGTATGTATGTATGTATGTATGTATGTATGTATGTATGTATGTATGTATGTATGTATGTATGTATGTATGTATGTATGTATGTATGTATGTATGTATGTATGTATGTATGTATGTATGTATGTATGTATGTATGTATGTATGTATGTATGTATGTATGTATGTATGTATGTATGTATGTATGTATGTATGTATGTATGTATGTATGTATGTATGTATGTATGTATGTATGTATGTATGTATGTATGTATGTATGTATGTATGTATGTATGTATGTATGTATGTATGTATGTATGTATGTATGTATGTATGTATGTATGTATGTATGTATGTATGTATGTATGTATGTATGTATGTAATGTATGTATGTATGTATGTATGTATGTATGTATGTATGTATGTATGTATGTATGTATGTATGTAGGTAGGTAGGTAGGTATGTATGTAATGCATGTATGCATGTATGTATGTATGCATGCATGTATGTATGTATGCATGCATGCATTCATGCATGTATGTATGTATTTCCCGCAAAAAAACACGGTTTTTCCAGCGTTTTCGCAAAGAGGACGTCCAAAAACATTGAGTTTTTCCAGATTTTCGGCAAAAGGATGCAGGAAGCCCAAGCCAGCAAAAAAGCCGGCAGGGGGAATCGAGCCTGGGACCCCTGTTTTGCGACACCGGCTCCCCGAAGACTACGTTTAGTGGAACGTCATCAAATTGCCGCGCGGTACGTGGGACCCCCCCCCCCCCGTACGTACGTATGTATGTATGTATGTATGTATGTATGTATGTATGTATGTATGTATGTATGTATGTATGTAATGTATGTATGTATGTATGTATGTATGTATGTATGTATGTATGTATGTATGTATGTGATGTAATGTATGTATGTATGTATGTATGTATGTATGTATGTATGTATGTATGTATGTATGTATGTATGTATGTATGTATGTATGTATGTATGTATGTATGTATGTATGTATGTATGTAATGTATGTATGTATGTATGTATGTATGTATGTATGTATGTATGTATGTATGTATGTATGTATGTATGTATGTATGTATGTATGTATGTATGTATGTATGTATGTATGTATGTATGTATGTATGTATGTATGTATGTATGTATGTATGTATGTATGTATGTATGTATGTAATGTAATGTATGTAATGTATGTAATGTATGTAATGTAATGTAATGTAATGTAATGTAATGTAATGTAATGTAATGTAATGTAATGTAATGTAATGTAATGTAATGTAATGTATGTAATGTGAATGTAATGTATGTATGTATGTATGTATGTATGTATGTATGTATGTATGCATGTATGTATGTATGTATGTATGTATGTATGTATGTATGTATGTATGTAATGTATGTATGTACGTCCAAAAACATTGAGGTTTTTCCAGATTTTCGGCAAAAGGATGCAGGAAGCCCAAGCCAGCAAAAAAGCCGGCAGGGGGAATCGAGCCTGGGGCCCCTGTTTTGCGACACCGGCTCCCCGAAGACTACGTTTAGTGGAACGTCATCAAATTGCCGCGCGGTACGTGGGGGACCCCCCCCCCCCCCAAAAAACCTACGTAATAGACGTCGGGCGGGGGGGGTTAGGGGGGGGGTTATCCTCTATCCTCTAGTAAGTATCCGACACGCCGAGCAATGTCGGCGGACATGTGGGCTACTTAAGTCACCTAACACCAGGATCTGGTTCCTTGTAAAGCAGGGAGTTGGACGTACCCCACCGAAACCCAGTTTTGCATCGGACACATTCCGCAGTCGCGCGAGCGCAAGGCGGGTGCTGGAGGTTTTGAATGCCATCTTCTTCGGCGCCCCCAAGAGAACCTCCAAAGGTCTCTACCTGTGCCTTTGCCAATCCGATTGAGCCAAACACCTCACTGGTCTTCTGGTGGTAGCAGCTATTTTTCTGTTTTTGTTGCTATAGGTATTCATCACTGGAAGCACTGGCTTTCTTAGTTGTAAATGTTCTTCTTTGGTTCAGTTCCTGTCTAGTCTGAGAAGAACACGCGTTTTTGTCCCTATGTCAAAGATTGGGAATGGGGATCAGCATCTGAGGCAAGGGAGCGTCAGATCAAAAGGAAGCCCGTCCGTAAAACCTGCTGCGCCCCAAATATCACAACTGGGTCAACGTTTGGCAATATCTTACATGCATCTGTTCCCTTTGCTAAAAGGATGATACTTGATTATGTTTTTAAGTATCAGGGGTAGGGTTGGTCATTGACCAAGACAAGAGGTCGGCCATCCATAAGAGGCTTGCAGGTGGAGGGGGTGTCTTGATAGTGTACCAAGACTCTGAAGCTTTTCCAGAGCCCCGGGATACCTGGGAAGTGGAAGAGCCACTCGCTCACTTGCGAGCATTCGCTCACTTGGAAGCATTTTCCAGGTATGGGGGGAGGTATGGAAGTTACGTACCACATCCATATACCACTTATGCAGGGGGTATGTACTGCCTTAGAGGCGCTTATAGTGGCACCCATACCTCCGAAACCCATGCATCAAGGTGATGATATTTGCGGGGGTACCGTACCTGAAGCATGGCTGTAGACATTCAAGCATCAGGAGCGTCCGCACAGTTGAGCCTTTAGGAATGTGTGAAAAGCTGCAACACAATATTGACCGTTTTACAATGGACATCTTCAACCCCCTCAAAATGGGCTTTACTATTCTTGGCATTTTTTGATTTGGCTCTGATCATGTTTACTGAGAGCTGCAAAACACAAAGTTGTTTGCTACCATACCAAGGATTGGGAAATGGAATTTTGGGGAGGGATGTGTGACCCTATTTGCCATTTACAGTTTCGTGGGGAAGACAGATGTGCTTCAATTGGGGAACAGGCAGGGAAGTACTTTGTTTCTCCTTGAACATTCAGCAAGCATGGGTCGGCAAACATCAACCAAGCAGCGCTGCTATGTAGCCCTCATGTTGAACGTGGCCCAAAGAGCAAGAACATCAGTTTTCGAGAGACCACAATGTCCAATAAATGATGTTGCCGGGCTTTAGACACGAGCAAGCACGCAAAAGCAATTACTGACCACGAGCGTGACGGATAGGTGGTGTTCCATCCAATTCGGCAAGCCGCCGCTTGCCTCAAATTCATCAAAGTCAACACTCAGGTAATTTGGAGGTTAGTAAGGAACGCTCATAAACACCCGTGAACTGGAGCGGCCACCTCTGTAATTCCCAGGACCTGAAAGTAGAGACAGCTCACCCAAATTCTATCATCCCCTCGACTTATCATTACGAACAATTGTTCTATCTACACCAAAGTGTATGTATGTGGGTTTGAGTACAAACCTTTCAGCCCGCTTTTGGTCTTTCTGTGTTTTCCGCGACAACGGGAGGCAAGACATGGGCGAAGCCGGGGTGGGTTCCGGCAGGATTGACCAAACGTAAAAAAAAAACTGTGCCATATACCCTTGACTTAACATGGCCAGTTGCCTCATGTTGGTGCATCCTTCGTAGTCTCCGAAAGTTTTGAGGTGAGCATCTACTTTCGCCCCTTGTCATCATTTTGTTTGTTGCACACCTCGGCGGACCGAGCGGTTGGCTTGTTCGGCTCCCAACTCGAGGTACGGCAGCGTGGGCTGCGGAAAGACGATGTCCATGGACATCTTCTACGCGGCCCTACAGAGCCACCCACAGGTGCGGGTGCAGAGGCGCCTTGCGCGGACCTGGACAGTGTCCCAAAGATGGGCCTGAGGGTGGGCTTGTCAACCATATGCCCGCGTCTGTTTTAGGACCCCCGAAAATGGAGGTTTTCCTTGTGGTAACCAAAAAAGGCGTGCCCTCAGAAAAGTCACATCCATATCATATCGCTGGTTCCTTCTGGGACCCGGCGCCCATCATGCCGCCGTGACAAATTTGTCGATAAGGCTCTAGTTTAGACAACCCCCTCACCCGGCTTAGGCATAGTCAAGAGGCCTTCGGCTCATGGCCCTTCAAAGGGGTGATAGGTCTGGATGAGCTGAAGCCATGTCCATGACCTGTGTGGAAAGCAAGCTTGTTGCTATCGCGGAAAATCAGGGGCCCGTGAAACGGCTGTGATTTTGAACGGCTTCCAATATCTTGAGGACAAACATGTGCTTGTCGCTTCCGGTTTTGGAATCCATTTGCTACAACCTATTCGACGGGTCCGACAGGCCGAATTCCTTGAGGTTGGATGCACTGTTGATGCGTAGCCAGCTCCGGAAGCCGGCGTTGTTGCAAACTTGCTGCAACACTTGTGTTGTCTGAAATATTATATGTATATACACATGCCCTGGTTTGCAATGCTGGGTCCTTCAGTTTTAGTTGTGCAGCTCCACTCTGCAATCGTTTGCCAAATGAATTGGTGGTTCGGAGCCGGTGTTGAAGAGCTTTGTGAAGCAGTCTTCCGTGGAAGTGCATGGTGTCAATTGCCCGCTTGTGGTTTGCTTTGCGGATGGGGATATGGTCATTTGAGGACTTTAGGGTTTCAGGGGATTTTGGAAGTCAGGGTCTTGGGGATTTCACGAATTGGGGCTCCCTGGGACCCGTGAAGGAAGCACTTCCATGAGTTTCTCTATGATGTCCAGCGGCTGCTTCACCAGATCAAGTTGGAGGACAGGATTTCCGAAGCTTCTGAACGCGGGCGGTTTCTATGAACAAATCCACTTGTTGAACCTGTGTGTGTGTGTGCGGAGTGGCAGAATACCCTGCCACCACATTTGAGCGCAGGGGGCAGGAGCACCATGGCAAGTCTCCTGCCAACGAAGACACTTGCCATCGGTGGCGATACTGGGACTGATCATCCCAGCGTACCTGCATGTGTGAAGTGATGTTTGGGAATGTCCTTTTGGTCCCCTCCCTGAACCGCCGTTGCTTCTTTTGTGCCCCTGTTAAAGTAGCTACAGGGAAGCCAAGTGACCTGCCAGCCGAAACTATTACTCGAAGACCCACACAGCACTTTGATGAGTACCCTCCCTCGGGAGTTCAAGTGTGATCACCCCATCTTGGGGGAACCTCGGGTGCACCCATCGTGTGACCCCGGGCCGGTTCGCCGGAAAATTTGACCTCAACGTTCTTATCATAGCGGAATTTCACGTTTAAGCAGGAACGAGGTTTCACTAAAGGGAAGACAGCCACCAGATCATAGTCACGTCTCACCTTTTCTCGCCTTCGTCTTCCGCGTGTCCGTCTTCTGTTTCTTCGCCCGTCTAGGGATGGCTTCTCCTTCGTTCTCTTCTTGCTGCCGTTCGTCCTCCTCCTCTTCGCCCGCTTAGGGATGGCCTGGTTGTCCTCGCGTCGTTCACCTTTCTCCTCGTCTTCGTCTTCTTGTCCGTCTACCTGTTCCTACTCCTCGTCTTCCTCACGTAGTTTGGCTTGACGTTTTCTTCCCCTTCCGTTGCTATTTCGCGTCCGTCCTCTTGGCCCCCGTGTGGGATTCGACGTCTTCCTCCTCGAGCCTTGGTCTTCATCCTCTGTACCTGTTTGGGCGGGATGCGTCGCCCTAAAAACGCATACTACACCCCTCTTCCTCTTCCTTCCTCCCTCTTCCTTCTTTTCTCCTTTTGTCTCCTTGTCTTCTGCTTCTTTTCTTTGCTTTTCTTTTTTCTCCTTTCTCCTCTCCCCGGGCGGGCTGCGGCGCCCTAAATACGCATCTCGCACCCTTTGTCTTCTTTTCTCTCTTTCTTCCTCTTCTCTTTCCCTTTCTTTCCTTTCTCCTTTCCCCGGGCGGGCTGCGGCGCCCTAAGTACGCATCTCGCTCCCCCTTTTTCTCTTCTTTTTCTCTCTTTCCCGCTCTCTCTTTCTTTCTTTCCTTCTTTTTCTCCTCCCTCTTTTCCAACTACTTCCTGTTGTTCCTCTTCGCCCGTTTAGGGATGGCGTGTTCGTGGTGTCGTTCTTCAACTTCGCGGTGCTCTTTTTCTACCAGGTTTAGGAGGGTTTCTGGGCTGTTTGGGGTTCTTTGCCCTCGGCGGTGACCAAACTCGGGTTCCCCTGTTTTTTTCGTGTTTCTTGGTTGGGTTTTGCCCGCGGGGACCCAACGTGCCGCCTTTCTGTTTCTTTTGTTTTCCTGCTCTGTTTGTTTTCTGTTGGGGTCTTCGCCCGGTTTTGGGGCGCGTGTTTTTCCCCCCCGAAAAAGTGGTACTCGCCCCTCTTTGAGGGGCATGTGTGCGCGGAGTGGCAGAATACCCTGCCACCACATTTGAGCGCAGAGGGCAGGAGCACCATGGCAAGTCTCCTGCCAACGAAGACACTTGCCATCGGTGGCGATACTGGGACTGATCATCCCAGCGTACCTGCATGTGTGAAGTGATGATTGGGAATGTCCTTTTGGTCCCCTCCCTGAACCGCCGTTGCTTCTTTTGTGCCCCTGTTAAAGTAGCTACAGGGAAGCCAAGTGACCTGCCAGCCGAAACTATTACTCGAAGACCCACACAGCACTTTGATGAGTACCCTCCCTCGGGAGTTCAAGTGTGTGTTTGAGTGTACCCTCTCTGGTTGGTTTAAAGAGAAACTAAAAGGAAAGACACCGTTTTGGGAGTCCGTTTCTTGCAGACATCACTGGGCCTCTCCATTGGATCCCAGGAACCCGCCAAAACGTGCACTGCTTTGACAGCGAACTTGTTGCACATGTTGCCGCTCACAGGAATGGAGCTACACTCCATGCGGATGCAATGCACATGTCGAGTAACACGCTTCGAACGACACTTCCCTTGCTCAGGACACAGACGGGGTTCAGACTGGCTTGGGCGTTCAGCGAGCTGGAGAGCGTATTGCAGATTCTGTGGACGTGCCCTTTGACTGCAATGCGGCTGCGGCTGCCTGGAGTTGCAACTCCCGAAGGCTCGAATTCTCTCATCCCCTTTCCCGAATGATGGGGTGGGATGCACATACAGGGCCGTGTGTGTGTGTGTGTAAATGCAAAGAAATGGCTATGAATTCAAGCAGGATCCATCTTACAAGTGGCTGGTGGACATGTATCCCTGCCTAAGCGATGAGAGGGCCCGTATGAAAATTCATATTTTAAATTTGGTAAGGAGACAACATGTACCCAGCGGGGGGGAGGGGGGCATGATGTCCGGTGTGTGCTTTGGCGTCCTGCGAGGCTTTGCTTCGACGAATTTGTCCCGGCCTCGCTATAGCCATTTGCGCGATGTGAAGTTGGCATCTTTTGGGTTCTTCTGGGTAGTATCAGGTATGGATTTTGAAGGTGTGGAGGCTATATTTCCCACTCAGAAAAAGGTGCATACTGCCTTTTTACAAGCTTGTTTTCGCGGCAAATAAGCACCCATTCTTCTGAAACCCACAGCTGAGCATGCACATGAACATGGCTGTCGAAAATTTGGTTTACTGCCACTTTCTGTGATACCAAGGGAGCCCCCTTTGGCATCACACAAAATCTCTTTTCGACAACCATGTAGCTCCATGTTTTCTTTTGTCGAATTGGGCGTGCTTCCAAGGCAGTGACCACCATCCAGGACAGATTTTCCAGACAGAAGCACTCGCAATCTAGGTCCTCCAGTAGACAGGTTAGAATAAGGGTACCCTTTCTCAGTAGTCTATTTTAGTAGGGGAACCCTCCCCCAAAAAAGGGGTGAGAAAGGGCACCCTAGCTGGGGGACCTGGCAATTGGACTTGTGCACAGGACTGCTGCATCCTGATGCCACTCTTCAACGCCCTGTTCAGGCCTGTGGGAGTTCTCTTGCCGTCTTGGCCGGCAGAAAAGCAGCAGTAAAACTCCCCTGCGTTTCTCGCGTCCAGTGGCGGCCTTGTTCCTCGTTTTTGTGGTGGGGTCCCCGCCAAACTGACAATTCTACTAGGTTCCCTGCTTTTGCCACGGCCACTGGACGACTGGATGTGTGTTTTCCCTGTTTTCCCTCCCGGCCTTGTCTTGCTGCTTAGGGAATCAGGGCTTTGGGGAAGCAGGAAGGGGATTCGCAAGGAAGCAACCAGAGACAGTTTCCTCCTTCTCCAGCCTTTCAAATGATGTGATATAGTTCAGTTCTCAAAACAGCAACAAAAGATCCTCAACGCAACCCAGCCGGTGAAACCAACCTTTTCCCGTCAACCAACCAAAAATAGGTTTCCGGGTTCCTCTTCCCATGAAACCGACCTTGAAGCGGGTTCACCGCTATCAGCTCCAGGCGCGGGGTCACGATCATCGCGACCTCCAACCGCGCCCCGGAGGACTTGTACACGGACGGCCTCAACCGGCGCCCAGGCAGCCATGTCGGGGGTGCGAATTGCGCCAAAGATGGCCATGACATGTAGAGCGGAAGCACCTGAAAAGTGGCTGGTGGACATGAATCCCCACCAAATTCGGATGTCCACCAGAAGCCTCGCGACCCATTAAAATTCACACCCATGTCAAACCCCCACCAAGACAAGGGCCGACTCACTTCCCGTGGGAAGGCCTGGTGGCGCAAATGGGGTCGCTCGCAGCCAGCATCCGGATTTGCAACGTTTTCAGACGAGCTAAAAAGTAAGGTCCGATGGTGGTTCCCTAGTTGCCTTGACTTCCGCTCCGGCTCTGGCTTTGTCTCAAAATGGGGGGGCCATGGTTCCCTTGCAACCGAAAGGATACCCTCAAAAAACACACACACACACAGCTCTGTGGAGGACCGAGATGAAACATGATGTAAGGGCTAGTAAGAATTGGTTGCTTTGGTCGACGGGAAGAACTAGATTGGGTCTCTTGAAGCTGGGGGAAAACTCCTTTGAACACGGAAATGCTGCTTGATGCTGCACTCGTCAGATTTGAGGTCGGGCCTGCGTTGACGTTGCAGTTTGGGGCAACGGCCCCATGTGAGTGCGGTTCCCCTCCCCTGGCAAATTCCTTTGTTGGCCCTTGATTTGACCTCCAATCAACCGTTGAACCTTTTCCAAAATGGCCTGCCTTTTGCAAGGGGTCGCAGACCACCGAAGGAAGTTAGCGCCAAGCATCCTGTGGCCACCTTGGTGTGATGAGGGCCGAGAGCTCTCAATGAACTTTGGCAGAACCGCTACACCTGTACGTCTAACACTCCCCCCAAAACGGGTGCTCTCAAGAAAGACGGGCAAATGCCGTACGACTTAATTGACCTGAGGCAAGTCTATCTTCCGCCATTCCTGGACTTGCTGCGGGGGCACTGCAAAGTCATCCGCATGCAGAATCTTGGACCAACAGGTTTGCATAGGCACTGGGGACATGTCGTACCGGCGTTCGTTGAACAGATTTAGCGATGCGTTGGCTTGCAGCATGGCCTCGTGATAGTCGCCGAATGCCAGCCAGCCACAAGTGAAGAAGGGCAGAATAATGATCGAGCAGCAAGCGCTTGCACAACTTGCAGGAACCTAGGATATTCCATATGGTGGGTGTCTTGTTTTGAGTTTCCTTTTTGGAGCTGTTCTAGATGAAGCTTAACTTTGCACTGGGACGAAACCCCCAAATTTGGAGGCCCTGAACGTTTGAAGATTCCGAAGTTGCCATGCCACGAGGAGCCAGAAAGACTATCGCGCGGTCCAGTATGAGAACAGCCCAGATGCAGGCACTGGAAGAGTTGGCTTGATGATTGCATATGATCAAAACATATTCTTAGTGGTAGGGCTGGTCATGAATCCCTAGGGGCGTGGAGTTGCGGACAACTACGAAAATAATCACTTCAACCATGACCATGACAGACATAGCGACTTTTGACTGTGGCGCACACGTCTTGTATTGGCAATTCCCCATCAAGACAAGTCCACAGCCGAGTTGTTCACGTCCGATGGATGGCAGAGGTCCTACATTTGCCTTGGACAACTTCAAACGTGGTTGGGCCCAAGGTTGTTGTGTAAGACATGAATGTGTTTTCTCATTTTTTTTGCAGGGTACCTTGTGTTTGTGGTTGTAAAGGAAAACACACAAGGACATCTCCTAAAAAGGCACACCAACATTCATCTTTGGGCTAACAGTTCTCACTTTCAGGCATCATTATTCCAGAGACCAGCAACATGCCTTCCCTTTTTGAAGCCCAGAAAGTGTTACCCGCAAACGACCCCCCAATCGGCTTGAGGCGTCTTCTGCTGGCCGCCAACGCTGGGCTTTGTGGACACCTGGTTCGAGAAGGCCGCAGAAGGAAACGACTGCCGGGTGCTTTTTGGGAGTTGGCACCCTTGTTTGGGTGGTGTTAAAAGGGACGCCAAAAAGGAAAACCAGCGTTTGTGAGGGGTCCAAAATTTCGGTTTTGACACATACTCAAGTTTTCTCAACTTTTGGGAACGCTAAACTCTAGGGGCGACGATGGGTTTGTGGGATGAAGGGCGCGTTCGCAGAAGTGGGCAAGTCACCACCTTGAATTCTAGCGGTTGGTTAATGATTGAGTCCAACCATTCTTTTCAACCATTTCTTTTCAAAAGCAGAGCGCCGTTTTCCCTGGGTTTCCGGAGGTTTTCTATAAGGATACTGAAAATGAGGATTGGCCAAAAGCAAACAGGGGTTTCCTGTTGCCTTGTTTCAGATTCGTTTTGGCCACAGATCATCCGGTCGGTTTAGCGAGGTGGCGGGCACTTCCGGCGGCACTCCCGGCCACGTGCAGGTGGGAACCGGAGTGAACAATGGTTCGTGCCAGGGAAGCTACAAGGAACCCTTCGGACGTGTCTTTGGGGGAATTCCCTTTTGGTTGGCTTTAAACGGACAGGGAAACCAACCATGGGGGGCAACTTTGGGATGCTTAACAAGAGGCTCCCCGCCTCAACATGACCAATCACGCGATCGTGGAATATTCCATTGGCTTGTCCAACAGGATCCGACTTTTTCCCCAGGTTTTGATTCATTGGGTGATACATTGCAGAGGCTGCCCTTTGTGTTGTCCGCTGCATTAAAAAAAACGCGTGAACTCAGAGCTCTCAGGTCGCCTATGCCAGAACTCTGCCAGTGCCGCGGATTTCCGCGTGCGGGGGCCGGGAGCTTGGCGGTTGAGTTCGGGGGCTTGGATCTTGGGGGGGTGGTCTGGCGGAGGGTTTCTGGGATCTTGCTTGAACTTGTTTTACATTGGATCAGAACCAACCAGATTGTTTTGGTTGGGGGCCAGGAGCTGAGGTAGGTTTGGGGTGCCGCGGCCTCCTTGTGGAGCTGCAGAGTGATGTTGTTTTCTAACACTTCCTGTTGAATGAAAACTCGGAGGCATAGGTGTCCTTTTTGGTTGTTTTGGTAGATGATATCTACGGGGGAGATCCAGCTATTTTCAAGCGAAAGGACACCTACCCGTACGGAGGTAGATCCTCAATGGCTAAACGGCTAAATTGAGCCCTCGATTTCCTCGTAGCGACGGTTGTAAGGGAAGCCAGGAAACCCTTGCCACGTTTCATGTTCCGTCGTGGTTTTGGATTATGCACCCTCTACCCTAGCCTCACATACCCTCACACACATGATATATATATATATATACATGATACACCCTCTTATACCCATCAAGGTTGTCAGCCTCAGGTCAAAGAGGATATATTGAGTACAGAGACCCAGGAGAAGCATGTAGCGACACGTCTCCCCATGTCGAGGCGTGGCGCGCTTCGCCTTCGGAGACCTCTGTCAGCAGCACCTGGCGGCGGACGACTACAATTCCCTTTGCAGCCGCCCAGCTGGCAGTCGAACCCGACTGCAGGGTTCCACTTTTTGACTACCGGGTTCTCCTGTTGGGGGAATGAACCACCCCAGGTTTTTAAGTCCCTGGGGTCGTCAAAATGTGGAACCCAGCCCGGGTGTGTGCTCTTTTGGGCCTTTGGAAAGGACGTTTGGACCATCCTGCCACACAGGATAACGACAAGGTTGATCAGAGGCAAACAAACTTGGTAAGCCCGTTTTGAGGGTTCCCTAGAAATCTGTTGAGCCGTGCCAAATACCCAATTGGTTTGAAGTTTCAACAAGGGAGTCAGCATGGATTATCGTTTCGCATTTTTGCCCAGAGCCATATCTAGCACAAAGGAACCATTGTGGTAAGTTGGATTAAGTTGGGCTTGGGCTTGCGGAACTCTGACGGTGTCTGTGCGTTTGCGCATACCCCTTTTACATAATTACCGTTGGGGTAGACATTTGTAAGTGGGTTGGTACACTTCCCTTCCTGTAAAAGGCGTGAAGATCATGCTAAAAGCTAAAACGGGGAGGGATGCTTGCCACAGGGTGCAACAACGGAACATTCGGTGGCTTGGGGATTTGAGCTCCTGATTCTTCTGGAGGGTAAATGGGACACTACACCTCACCACCGGGCTCCAAGCCGCCTTTTTGAGGGAAGCTGGACCCAGTTTTCCGGGCCATTTTCTGAGCATCCCCAGAAAGACTTGGGGAACACGTCGCGACGGGATATGCACGGAACATGCCACCGTTGCGCCTTCGGCCTCGGAGCAGGCCGCTTCCATACCATCCTGATCGACGGCATTCCGCGGCTTACGGTGGACCAGCACAACGAGGCGCTAACCTGTGCCCGAAGGTACCTGTAACCTGAAAAAAAACACTGTTTTCTTTCAGAGGAACCTCCTTTCGCGGGACCCCGTTTTTTTTTGGGTTCCATGTGAATTTGTATAGGCCACGAGTGACGGTCAATTCACCAATAATTTAGGCGTTTATGTCCGGGGTTCATGTATGGACGTATGCAAGGGTGTGTCGTATTATGGGGGTCCAAACATGTGGTTTTCCTTCAGCTTTCCCTTCTCAAAGCCAGAAAAACAAATCAGGTACCCTCAAAAAAACCTTTATGTCCACCTTCAGCCTATGAATAGCGCCAGCATCCTGCAGGCGAGGCGCCTCACGCTGCTCATTGATTGCTGCTACGAGCACCATACGCGGCTCATCGCCAGCGACCCGAAAGCTGTTAGCGAGCCATGGGCGAGGGGGGGGGGTGCCGTCGTAAGATGCCCTGACTTCCTTTGCAGGCCCTTCCTGGACAGGAGGGCGGGGGCCAACAAGAAACAGAGAAAACAAAGGCGCATAATATGTTTGGCAACCTCTGACGTTGGGGGCCCAAACAATTTTTGTCTGATTCCCGCCGCGTGGGAAGCAAACTACTGATGATCATTGCTGGTGGCTGGTTCACTTGGCGAATCCGTGCCCCTCTCTCCCAACAGGGAACTTCAGTCAAAGTGTCCCCAATCAAAAGGAATAGTGTCCAAATCAATAATGTCCCCATCAAAGTGTCCCCAAAGTGTCCCCAATCATGGTTGTTGTTGGGAAACATTTAGCATTTTTGCTTATTGTGGTTTAGTGGTTGAAATCCAACCACTTAACTGCTAAAATTTGAGAATTGTTGCTCCCCTTTCAACGTCAACCAAGCAATCAACAAGTGTCAATCAACAAGTGTCCCCCACTTCGTTGAGCCGAAGTTTGGTTTTCTGAGGCATGGCAGGGCCCCCCGAGGAGATTCTCGGCCACTGGGACCCGATGCGGGGTGGATCTAGGGTCCTAAGGTTCATGTGGCTACAGCACAGATTCCCTGAGTGACGTTTTAGAGGGAAGTATTGGCTGCTCAGATCATGGAGCTCGCTTTTGATAGACTTCGCAGATTAACATGGTCAGCAAGCCAGTCCATTCTTGGAGTTGCCTTCCTTTGGAGAACCGCCTGAGGGAGTGGTGGGTGGATGGCTAGATGGCTGGATGGCTGGATGGCTGGATGGGTGGATGGGTGGGGTGGATGGGTGGATGGGTGGGGTGGATGGGTGGATGGGTGGATGGGTGGATGGGTGGATGGGTGGATGGGTGGATGGGTGGATGGGTGGATGTGGGACATGTTTCTGTTGGTATGACACTGGGCCCCCACTCACCACATTGCCACAAATGCGAGGGCGGGGGGTCTTACATCCCAAATTCTGATGGATGAGCCCATCTGCATTGTCTTGTGGACATCTGCCTTGACATGATCAATGATGTTTTTGGCTCTGCCTGCCGTTTGAGACTCAAAATTCCTGGCTCATAAACTATTTTGCTTTAATGGAGAACACCTCAAGAATGGTGGGTGGACATAAATCCACATGAAAACATTATGCACCATGTCGGCTCCCAGCGAAGCTTACCCAAAGGGATCAATGGCAGTCGGCCACAAAGATCAGCACTCAGAAAGAGAAAGCCTTCAGGACGCACCATAGCGGATGAACAACTTATTGCCATTTGGGCTTGTCTCTGGCTCTGTACCTCTAAGGGGTCAATGCTTGGGAACTTCCATACTTTCACTCTAAACTCATCTTACATGTTTGCCTCCAACGTGATGATACTCGAATTACTACCCCCTCCTCCAAATACCGTCTTTTTCGGGTATCATGTCAACCCTCCACTAAAAGAGGAGGTATTTACCCTGGAAACCCCGCTTTTTGTTTTTAAGACCGACTGACATTGCAGTGGGCGGTACCTGTTTCAGTCAGGTTTGGGCTTGGACGTCTTGTTTTTGCTCAACACGGATGGAGCTGAGGGGGCCTCACTGAGCTGCAGAACATCAGCATGAGCACCCTGGGCTCCGGCGAGGCGCGCACGCCGCGCTCCGCGAAAGGATTGGCGCGCAACATCCACGTGTTTTGGGCAGAAAGTCATGTAGGAAGTTAGAGTAGAAAAGGTTGCCAATATGGTTAAAGGTTTATTCGTCACAAAAGATGAAACAAAATGTGCAAAAAGGAACATGTGTGTCTTTTTCAAGGTTGGACACCCCAAAATGTCCTGTGACTACCCAAAACATGTGCACCAGCTCGAAACAAAGACACACCGAATGGTTTTGTTTTAAAGAAAACCCTCAAAGCTGGCTCGGTGCTCCTTTTGGTGCCAATGAAAGAGCCATCCCAAAGAAGGTACCGACTCCAAAAAAGCCAGACCCGCATGGTTGTTTCATCACGGTGAAAATTGTTGGTCCCCAGGAGAAAATTGTTCCAGTGTTCCCTATATTTCTCTGGGTGACTTGCCGGTTGCCAGGTGAAAGCAAGTGTCCTTTTGCTCGGGTGATGTTTTAAGAGGAAGTATAGGAAACCCCGCGTTCCACGTCGAAACTGGTTGCAGATTCCAGGATGATGCTTCCCCCAAGCTTTTTTTTTTTTACGTCAGGTTCTTGAGGTCAAAGATCATCCCATGACCCGCGTTTTTCCTTCGTGGGGAGTCGACAAAAACTGGGGGGTCAAATAAACCAGGGTGACGTTCTTAAAATTACAATGTTTTTTTTGGGGGGACAACAGCTGTCAGAAGAAAGCACATGTTTCCCACGTGCTTTGCTCAGAGGATTGCATGTTCCCTACAGTGGATTCATTTTGAGGGCTCTCAAGACTAGTTTGTGGGCAGTTTCCCTTTAAACCAACAATTGAAGAGTAATTTTGAGGATGTTACTTCAATGGACCTAGCTCAAGAAAACGCTTTGTAAGAGACAAAGTAGTCATTGGGATGGAATCCCACGTCGGTGACACAGACGCGTCATTCTCCACCACCATTCTAAAGGTTGATTCCCCATTCCTTTTACCCATCGTTCTTTGCAAGTTCCACCCCTCCTGTTTCCCAAGTGCTTGGCAATTTTATCTCAACACAAGGGTCCTTGAAAAGAATATGGGCTATGTGCAGAGCTCGAGTCTTGGGTGTTTGTGCCTTAGATTTCCTGAAAAAAGTTCCAGTGAACCGCATCCAACCACAAAACGTCGCCTGTTGGGCCAGGCAATACTTGATTTTTGTTTGGGTGGGGCGATGTTGTATGGGCTATGAGTGGGATTGCAAGGGCTCCTGGCACACCCAACACTAATTTGAACATCGTTATATCAGGGATTATACGGGTTCAGACTGGGGATTCCCCTTGGGGTTGAACAGAAACCAGAAGGAATATGTTTTTCTTTGGCTACATTGGCGGGCTTGCTTAGGGAACTACCCATGGAACCCTGCGCATTTTGAGACACTCATTTTTCAGAAGCCCTGCTACAGGTTTGGGGTGGCGTGTGCCACCCTATGGATTTTCCCCAACAGCTGAAATCTTTGGGGTCTCAGCCCAGATAGGCTCCGGGGTAGTCCGGGGCGGCCCTGAGGTAAGGTTCCACGAGGGTTTTATGAGGGTTCCACGAGATTCTGCGAGGGCTGCGGGGTGGGGCGAGCACTAAAAAAAGCACCGCATGCTGTTGGGGATATCTCCTGAGCTTATTGCGAAATTAATGGGAGAAGGGGGGGTCAACCAGGCTTCCACTGTTTTGAGTACCTCGAGGTAGACTGAAACCCAGGGTTTGATTTGCTTCCATAGGCAGATTCGTGGGTTTATTATGTCCTTTGGGAGCCCTGGTCACAGACTGTTCGCCTGTACCGGGCTTGAGGCCGGCTGTGGCGATAGCGACTCCGCCTCCTCTTCCAGCGGAGTGCTGAGTGCCATCTCCCGCATCAAGACGAGTGCCTCAGCTGAGAGTCGATCGAGAAACCGAGCCAATCATCCCGGCAGGGCATCAGGCGGAGCCAAGACCAGCGGATCAGTTGCAGTGGGGAAAGTTTACTTGCGGTCTCCCCCCAAAAAACAAGAAGGTAGACCAAACATGGAACAGAGCCCCTCACAAATTGCCCACGTCCTCTTGCGTACCTGTGTAGACATTGTCCTTTGTGGCATTCACTGGGATTCATTTGAGCATTTCTCCAGGGTTCGCAAAATTTGTCAGTTGATTTCTTCCCAGTAGCAACTTTGAGAATGTCACTTTCACGGGGCTCCTAACAGGAGCCGATATTTTTTCAGTTCAGATGGATCATCCAAGAGGCCCTGCAAGAACAATTGAAATCAAGTCTTTGTTTGGTGGGTTCCCACCAGGTCCCCAAGAGGGGTCGATGGACCTAGTTTATTGCCCAGGTAATGGACTCTTTCCTGTAAAGATACGAAAAATAACCTCTTCACGCGATCGCCATTTGGGTGGATGGGGGGGATTTTCAGACGGTTATGATCAGACTTGGCAATTCCCAGTTCCCAGCCAGACCCTCAGTCTTTGAGATTTCCTGAGTTTAGAGGGAGTTCATGACATATGGCACGAGTTGAACTTTCAGCAAGGGGTCAAACCACCGCCCGTGGAAGGGGCCCGCGACACATTGCCTCACGCAGACAGCATCGAGGCATCGAGGATCGCAGCGACGCTGGCCACAGCGTGCCGGATGCCGCGATGCTGTCGCTTGCCTGAATCATGGACTAGGGGTGGTTCAAAGAAGCAACCCCTCGCTTGTTCTTGTCCCCTTTAAACAAATGGAAACCAGGTGATTTCAGAGACAGTGGTCTTAAAGGGAAGCAGGGGTTGGTTGTGTTCAAGCAGCTCTTGAAAGAACCAACCCCTGAATTCGTGGTTTGCTGCGATCTGCATGGTGTGCGTGTCTGAATTCGGGCGAGCTCACCATATGGGTGGAATTTGTTCAATCAACCAGCCTTTCCGCTTTAAAGGGACACAAAGAGGGGATATTGGTAGTGTAGCTAGCAAAAGTGGTTAATATTGGTTAAACAAACCTGGGAAACAAGCAAAAGTAAAAAGTGGTTGTGTAACCAATAGTTGTTTAAACCTTGGGGCCGACTTGGGCTGCAGGAGCCCGGGTGCTACGAGGCTTGTCGGACCTTCGCTGCCAAGATGTTTGGACATGAGACGCCACTGCCAAGACATCAACGTGTTGACTGCATTTGACTCTGCCTTCCAAGGCATCCAGGGTGTTGTTGAAACAAAGCCCGTTCAGTAAGCAATCAACCCATTTTAGTGGATTCCTTTGATCAGTATGGTCCTCCGCAGTAATCTGAAGTTCGCTTCATATTTGGTACTCGCTGTCGCTCCGGATGAGGTTCTCCGGCGAGGGCCTGCGCATGGATAGAGTTCTGGAATCCGAGATCACTCGTGCCAGGCGCGATTGAAAAAATCTGTGCGAGCCGTCGAAAGCTGTGCGTTGTATGTGTTTTTTTGCCTTCAGCAACTATTCGTGCTATGTGTCGTTTGATGTGTTGCTCGCTGAGTTCTGTCCATTCTTAGTCGGAGGGCTACAGAGAACCATGTGACGTCCAAGTGTACCGTGCCAACTGTTCGTGGCGGCTTGGAGAACGGATTCTTTGCTTTTGTCGTGTTCATTTTGAGTGGGGGGCCGGGGCCACGCTTTTCATGGCCAATCAATCTCCCTGGATGCCTTGTCGCAGGTCCCATGGGACGGAGGATATCTCCATCTGGCGCCAGGACGGCGAATCCGAAGGCCGACTCCAAGGAATGCCGCAGGTCTCGAAAGGCGGGAAGGGCGGGGCTGGCGTGTCAACACATCGGTCAACTTACAGAAATGATGGTCCATTTGGGAGGAACATGGCGACTCTCTATCTCTCTCTCCCTCCCTCCCTCCCTCCCTCCCTCCCTCCCTCCCTCCCTCTCTCTCTCTCTCTCTCTCTCTCCATCTCCCTCTACCTCTCTCCTCTGCAGGTCATGGTCATGTGTCCCCCGGAATCCTTGTCATATCTGACCTGAAAGGTGCATATCCACCTCTACGCGACCCCACAATTTCCGTTGACAGCAGTCGGACCCGAAATCGGAGGAGTCAAGGAATCCAAAAGGCCCCGAAAGGAAGCTGGACATGTTCACATGGGATGCACTTTGAGACAAAAGCCAATATAAAACCAGCCACTTGGCGCAGGCTGGGATGACCGACGCCGCATCTCCCAGTTCACCTGGGAATCCACCGATCCAACCTCCGAGCAGCAAGCGATCAAAGGCGGATCGGCGAGTGTGTCAGGTAGACCACGTAGGTCGCTGTGTATGTAATGTATAAACAACATCAACGCCTGGGGATTGTTTGTTTTGGTTTTCCCTCTTTGCTGCATATTATTTGCTCTTTGTTCGGGGCTTGTCCTGAAGCGGCATGGCCCGCTTGGGTACGGGGAAACCTTTGAAGCTGAGCTGTACAGGGCAACACCTGCTGGCACGTGGGATGAGGAGGGTTCTGACCCCTGGAGTAGCATTTATTTAATTGTGGCGAGTCATCATATTATTCCCCTCAGTTGCTTCTCGCTTGCCCCCTATTTGCTGCCTCACCCAACAATCCGAGTATGCCCTTGTGGTAGTCTTGTTTATGTTAGTATATTACGTAGAATGTGTTAGTTGTTGTATATGTATATATATATATATACACACAAAGCGGACACATCTGTGTACATATATATATATATGCATGTTGTACACGTGTATATATGATGGTTGATCCATTCGTGTATTTCTTCATGTGTGCTCATTCTTTGTTTTTCTTCAAGTGCATTGATTTCTGAACTTAACTTAATTTGCTTCTTCGTTTGCTCGCTCGGTTGTGTTTTTTTTTGCACCTCCCCCTCTCGTCTCAAAGAGCCCGTTGGAGCGCAGGGGTCTTCGTGGCCGCCGTGGCCTCTTTGAAGGAGAGTGGCTTCGCAGTGCACCGCTCCATCTCGCGGCTGCGGGAGATGCAGACGGTGGCTTTGGCAAATGTGGGCGTGGCTCAAAATCAACGAGCCAGGGTTACCGCAGGTCTTAGTCTTTGGTTCCACTTTACCAAGGTGTCAGTTTGGCACATGTTTTTGAGCCACAGCCATTTTAGTCCACTCACTTGAGCCCATGATGCTCTGCAGCTCACTGAGCCCCCCTCAGCTCCGTCGTTTTAGGAAAACATGTTTTGTCCAATCCCAAACCTGACTGAAACAGCGAGTCCCGAATCCAAATGCCTGCTTTTGTTTGTTGGTGTATTTAACGAAAAAAAAAAACTCACTCAGGAAGTGAGTCTAGCTACTCCCCGATTGACATGGAATCCCAGTAAAGGAACCTCCTGCGAATGTTCTGCAGGTGCTCTTTGTTCAGCGACACCTCGGTTCCCTTTTTGGTGGCTTCCCCACCAAGAATAGTTGACCCCAAAATGGGTCAGTCCATGTTTTTACTGAACAACTGGGAAAGAAAGGGACATTTGAACCACTTTTCTTTTCGGCGGAGCCTTGATTGAACATATGGCTTCAGGGCCAAATCAGCAGTTTCCAACACCAGCGACAAATTTCAGGGTTGCTTCAAACCTCAAGGCAATGGCTCAGGGGAGATTTTGAACAGGTTCTCATACATGGATTCCCGATGACCAAGGTATCAAAGGGGACAATAGAAGCATGTGGAGCTCAAATGGACCAAGGGATCGGAACTTGGCATTTCGGCCCTTTCGTTTTCCTTTTCCAAAATCATGTCGACAGGGTCGAAGGGCCAACCCTGAAAAAGGGCCGTCATTACCCCGGGGAATGGGGAAAGCCTTTTTCAGTGGGTTTGGGGATTCCTTTCCATGAGGCAAAATCCCCATCACAGCCCCCAAGCGGGTTGCTTCTGAACCTTTTTGGGGCGTGGGGGTGGCTGTTTGCCCCATGGTGGGCAAGTAAGAAGACATTGGGGTTCCTGGTCCGCAACTTCAAGAATGGCGAAATTTGAATAGCGCCAGCGAAAAGTGGGGTTCCCTTTGAAAGAAAAGCTGTAAGCACCAGCAAGCCTCCTTCGACAAGGACGGTTTCTGAAGGAAAGCAACATGCAACCAACCATTTGAAGGGTTCCCTCTTGTCTCCGTGTGGGTGGCACTTCATTTGGGTGGGTTTCGAGAAAACAAAAAGGCTAACAGAGAGACCCGATGCCACACCCGACCTCCTTAATCGGCTTCTTTTGTACTGAGGTTGCCTTTCAGGAAGCTCACCGGGTGAAACATGGGCTTTGAGTACCTCCCCTGATGTGTATGCCAAAAAGCTCGGAGCTGCGCGACACGGAGATCCCTGGCACTTGGATCGGCGAGACGGCGGAGTTTCGCGGCTCTCAGTTGTGACCCGGGATTCGAATGCATTGTTTCCATCTTCCAGACCGCGTCCAAGCTCAGTGGCGAGCAGCTCGCAAGTTGCGAGCCGGGACCCTGCCTGCAAAGTCATGCGTGCCAGATTTTCCGCTGCCCGAAGGCGTGCGCGCAAAAGAACGAAGCCGCAAATGCCAGTCGGTGCCCGCTCATTCTTCCAACAGGCTGAACCTCACAAGAAGCTGTGTTTGGAGGCAGGTTTTCAAGAGCGCTTTGAATGTGGCAACGCTCCGGACCCCTTCAGGAGCATTTTGCCGGCACATCGCCTTGCACCAGAACGAATCCTGCAAAAGAGCTTCCACGGCGTGTTTCCCCAACAAGTTACGCTTTCACTGAGGATCACACCAACAAAGTCACTGGTAGTCCATCGGTCCAAAAAACTCCGGCGTTCTCTCATAGGGAAGAGTATCGACCTGCATGAGTCAAATGCTGAAACGGAGAGAAGCCAAGATTGGAGGTGGAAGGGGTGCCCTCAAAAACACAAGAACTGAACATGTGTCGTCGGCAACAGACCCTACAAAACACCTACGCGGGTTGTCGGTTGGAACCACCTTCACTAGGCCAGAGATTGGTTGCTTCCCTCCCATTTTGGGCAACCTCTGACTTGTCCAAAACCACACTTTCAAGCTTTCGAACTGTTATTTGTTGTCTTAGTGTAGTGGCTGGAACCAAAATCAAGGCTTAAACTTTAACGAATCCGGGGGATTCGAACCGCCCGATCCATCCAATTCGCACTTGCGAGGTCCTGACAAATCTTGCCGCAAACGTGGCGGCCAACGTGGAACGGCTCAGACCCGCCTGGACCTCTCGCGGCTTCCGAATGAGTTGGTTTTCATTGGGTTTGTTTGGTCAAGGAGTCGATGAATGTAGGGACATGCGGGGAACTCACAAGACTTACTTCCCATGTCCTTCTGGGGAAGCGAGTAATTAATTTTGACCGCTCCTCATGGGTGGTTCGGTCAAAACATCCAAAAGGCTAAACAGTTATTCCATTCACCTATATAGTGGGAAACCAAGAGAACCAGCCTTGAAAAGCTTTAAGGGAAATTCCTGGTTCCCACTATATATAGTC